ACACACACCCACACACACACACACACACACACACACACACACACACACACACACACACACACACACACACGACTATCAACAGGCTGATGCCCACTTAGCAGAGTGACATACTGTATATCACAACAATATGTCAAATCACATTTGTAAAGTAAGAGCATTCACCTTTGATTATTCCACCCCATAACATTTCCAGTAAATAATAATTATCTGCATTAAAAAAAACATTAAAAACAAGCAGGTCAGCATCTTGTTTCCAGTCATTTTGATCAAAATACTGAACATGTGTCAGCTTCTAATGGCATAAATGTGGTGCCTTTGTGGCCGTGTTTCTGAAAATGCACCAACAACACTGAATACAGATAATTCAGTATTTAATTTCCATGATCTGACTTGTTTGACATCATTGTAAAAAACATCGCTACACGCTGTTTAAAAAACATGACAGGTGTGATGCACAACAATGTGTGTAGTTGTAGATTCAAATTCATTCACAATAGTTCTAAATGACTGTAACAGCTTTTTGATTTAAATCAAACAGTGGCAGTCACCCTCCACAGGTGACCCGCAGTCGACCTGTGCTCTCAGTCTGGCTGAAGTGAATGAAGGGAGCAGGTCACTTTCTCCTGTCTCATGCTTTTTCTATTGTTCTGTCAGAATGATAATCTGCCTACAGGCCTCACACCCCGAGGCCTGTTCCAATGCGTATTGACAAGCACTTCACTGGCTGGGCACCATATTAGCCACAAGAGGGCGCAGCAGAGAAAAAACCAGATGCAGAAGAACCACTGATCTACGTTATCTCACATGGTGCATTTACTATACTGTGTTGGAACCTGCTGCAGTCAACTCAAAATGCTCAAGTCGCAAAACTGAATCCAATTTTTATTCTCATTAAACTGAACAGGGGGTGCAATTATAATCAATTCTTTACTCTATTCAGGATAGACACTGTGTATTCTAATTGCTCTGGTGATGCTGCCTATGCAGTGCGAGATATCTGTGTCACTACCTTTTGCTATTTTATTTTTTAAAAATTGTTGGATATTGTAATACTGAGAAAACTATAGCAATGCTTTACAAGGTATTTCAAGTAGTTACCAATGATCAAGTTTAAGGAGCAAATCAAGAACCATTTCTGATTAGCAGCTAATTAATTGCTACTTGTACTATATCCATAATTATAATAGATAGTGTCTTAGATTTACAAATGTACACAATCATCAGTTAATAAATGTTAACTCTGAATCATCTGCTGAACTGAAACCACTAGCCAGTAACTTCCTTCTTTGCGGTACTTATTTTTCTGACCACTTAGGCAAAGTGGTTCTTACACACGATTACCTTATAACACTGATTAATTTTGGTGCCTTCCAAAGTAAAGTACAAACTGAAATATAGCAGAGTGAGCTTTTACTGAGAGTCATCGACTCCACCTTGACATAACAGATTCCTAAACAAAATTTTAATCATATACAATGCACACTTACATTAATATTCACGTCATATTAGCTACACCGTTGCACTAAATACTAACTAGCTACCATAACTAGTAAATTCTAAATTGTGCCAAAACAGGGTCCACCACTCAAAGCATTTGCCTAATTATTTTATACGTTGAAAGCTGATAATCATTTCTTCATATATTCTGGGTGTATAGATGGCATTTATACATATGAAAATTCAAATCCTTCACATCATGTCCCACTGAAAATACACATTAAAAGACTGACTATTTTAGTTCCCCTGGCATTGTGACTGTGGAATAGAGAGGTTGATCTGCTGTTGGAGGACAGGTGCCACCTTGAGTCCTAATAGACGAGTAGTCACAAACTGAGAAGTCGTTTCAGTTCAAACTGTGTTTCCTCCCTTCTGCAGACTGATGCTGACATAGTGAAGCGGGTATGCAGGAAGGTTGATGACAGCATAAATGGATGGCAGCACATCCCCTGAACTCATCTGCTTGTTCAACTCCTGCATCTCCTCATTGGTGGATTTTCCTGCAGAGGGAAAGGGCAGTAGTCCGATAAATGCAGTTGTTGCTCACATGTGCAAACCCACACACACACACACACCTCTGTGTTATGGCCAGCAGTTGTGGTCTTCCCTGATGAGCCCCCTGCAACATAACACAAAGAACAAACAACATATGAATAAATGGAAACAGTAAAATATTTTTTCTGTCTACTTGTAGTTACTCCTCACTCCTTGCATGCTAGCATTTGTGCCAGGTTTCCATCCCTCACCTTGTGTCCATGGGATTTTGGGTCTGTACAGTAGCAGTAGCAAAACCAAAGCCATCAAATCAAATCAAATTTTATTTGTATAGCACCAAATCACAACAAAAGTCATCTCAGGACACTTTACAAAGTAGGTCAAAGTGTTTATTTGCCATATGCACAGTTAGGAAACATGTTTCCCTGTACAATGAAATTCTTACTTTGCCACATGACCGCCACACAATACAAGTGATATGCAATATAAAGTAGATGAGCAATAACACCAATCTAAATAGGCAGTAACACAAATTTAAGGAAC